CCGCCTTTAATTAGAAAAATCTTGAAACAGGTTACGCAACGTGTCCACAATTATAACGCTTTATATTATTAAGAAAGTTAGGCCGAAGTTGCGCGAACGCATACTCCGATTTTGTTTTTTTAGAAAAAATCATAATTATGTTACGCGAACGTATACACAATCACAATAATAAGTTATAAGCATTATCTGGTGAAAGGAAACTACAAATAACCTAGGTAATTTAAGAAAAGCCAAATGAATTCTGCGCCCTATTACAGATTCTTAGCAGAAACTTCTTGTAACAAGTCTATTGTAAAGTAAAGGATCAAGTTACATATTCAACAATGTAATAACCTTTAGAAAACAAAAATGTTACACTCCAGGTGCATTCAATTTAACCACACTAAAAAAAATACTTTCTTGGATATACGATACTACACGACTACAAACTTGAAGTACTAAACAAAATCTTTATAGCTAACAATTGCAGATGTAGCTTTTCACCGTAAAATCAATAACATGCTCATTAGAAATGTGATATTGTATTCAACTTAAAATCACTCAATAAAATATCAACACAAGTATTTTAACGAGGAAGAAGAGTAGGGTGCAAAAATAACCTTTAACAAGAAGGATCTGAATCGGTTTGTTCAAAACCAAAAGCTGATCAAGACCGTGATTCCGGAACCTCAACTTTGAAGCTCGGCGGAATTCGACGAACCTCGAGCGTACTCAACTAGGCTTGGGCGTTTTTCTCTCTCTGTTTTCCGATTCGAATAGTCTTTGTAATAACAGAAAATTAGTGTAAACAAGTAGAAATTGAACCGGCTTTAAGATCTTTCATTTTGTGTTTTTGTTTTCTGTTTTTTTGAGTTTTTGACTTTCTCGATCTTTGGATTAAAGAAAATACCGAATGCTTCCATGATATCTACATGTGTATGTGTTTATATGTGTGAGTTGAGAAAGAAGATGGATCAAAAAATCAAAGGGGAAAGGCTGTTTTTCATTTTTTGTGTAGTCAGCTGGGTTGCCGCTAGTTTCAGGTGGGGGGTGCGGCTGATTTTTTGTTCTTTGCGGCTGGTTGCTTGGGGGTGTTCAAGGTTTTTGGTTTTGGGTGTCAAAGCTGAAGAAGAAGACGTTAGGAGGTCTTGCACTGTTGCGGCTGATTGGGATTTTTTTGGGTGTAGATAGGGTGTATTATATAGGGTAGGTAGGGATTAGGTTAAGGGTATGATCCTATTATTATGGGCTAGGGATTTTTGGCCAAAGACTAAAACAAAATGGACTATAAGATTTGTAAAAACGGGATAAACCAACCTAAAACTAATTCCTTCTTCTAAAATTATGTACAATTATAATATCAAAATATAAAACTAATTTTAATTAATTGAACTAAACTATAAAACATAAAACTATTTTTTTTGTGTTATCAAGATTATAAAAATAAAGATAGGGTACTATTTTTTGTATATATATATTTTTTAAGATTAAAAATGACTATTAAATATTAATAAACCTATTTTTGTAATTTTTCGTTTACTTGTAATAAAATAAAGTAAAAATAATAAAAATTAGTTGAAATGGCGATATTAAGCCTCAACTAAATATTTACATGATAAAATGGGTAAAATTTCGGGGAGGGTCAAAAATCACATGTCAACAGTAATAGAAATCTAAAAATAATAGAATACAAGACTAACTACTAATACTACTGGTATGGGGAAGAAACACTCTCGATCACCTACTAAACTTCTACACTAATTCTCAGACCTATACACCTTCCGATCAATTTGTACCCATTCAAATTGCACATTCAAATAGCCCCTACTCTACTTAGTAACCAAAAAAAAGGGGAAAAAAAGGTAAAGTTGTCTAAGGCCTTCAAGCCAGAAAAACTTCAATAACAAAATAAGGCCGGAAACACACAATTTATTCTGTTAGGTGAGTGTATTTCAAATGTTGAGCTTGAAATAACTGAATGGTTTGGATATTACATTACATCAGGACGCATAAAACTAACAAGAAGCAATTGAATCGAAATTAATTGAAATTTTCAAAATCTAAACTTTTGTTATTCAAAATTTAGAATAAACTCGAATTTAATCCCATAAATGCTTCAAAATGACAGATTCAACAACATTACTTTCACAACTATCAGTTTTTCATATTTAAACCCCCTAAATTCCAATGTCACAAGATTATTACTTTGTGGAAGCCGACAAATAGTTGTAAAGGCGAAGACCATAAAATTGAATAATAACAAAAGCACCCATTTATGCTTCAAAAATAGCCCTACTTCCGCAAAAATACAAAGGCGAAAAAAAAATTCGAAACAGAAAGAAGGATTAAATACCTAGTTGAAGGCATAGAGAGAGAGTAAGAGATGTGCGGGGTGCAAGTGAGTGCTCAGAACTTATCTGTTATGGTGGATTACTGGATTTTGAATAAGAGGAAAACGAGCTGTCAATGGGCCGCCGCTCACTTCTAAATTGAGGCCATACACCACAGGGACGGGGAAAATTAGGTGGGATATCCACTTTTGAGCTGGCTATGAGTCCTCGGATTTTTACACAAATAGCCAATAGCATTTACTATTTACTATTTACTTTTTCTATCCGATATTATATATATGATACAATGGATATACATAAGTTACATATATATTATACATAAATTCTACGTATATTATATCTGCCAGTTATTCTTAGTTAAGCAATTGGATGGGCGGCTATTTAAGTAGAAATTTTTATGAGTTTTTAGCCATCATTTGAAATGTACTTGAAAAAGTTACTGTTTAACACGACAAAAGTACCCTTACTAAAAAACGCAAAAACTCCCATATAGGGTGTTGGAGTTGGAACTTTTTACAAATAAAAGACGTCATACTTAAACTCCAACATCATATGCTGAAGTTGGTAGCTTTTAAAGGTAAAACTACAGCTATAGTAGAGTTCCCCAACTATAGTTGCGTGGTTGCAACTGCTTTTGTTTCAAATCTATTGGATTGTGTTCTGTAAAGTTCTACATTTTCAAGAATATTTGCATATTCGAAAATGTGGCCCCGTGTACTAGAAACAAGAATTCGTGAATCTTCAACACTTAATCACGGATGAACATAGATGCTGATTGCCGTCAGCAATTTGTGTACAACACATTTGTCTTTCCGAATGAAAATGTTGTATCAGTGAAAAAGAGGCATGGCACGTGGACTATCATCAAGGAAATGAGGCATGGTACGTGGATCATTAATATAGCTACAAATGGAATTCTTAATTAGACGAGTTAAAAAATACAAGAAGGTACGGGAGGAACACTCTCGGGGTTACACTGAGAAAAGAATCGGACCTGACAGCTCTAAAAAAGAGAAACATGAGCGAAATGGATAAAGACCATTAAGAAGGGAAGATGTACAAACCTGTCATAAATAAGGAAGGGAAATCGGTATATAATTACGATTACGGGAAATCCTCCGCCATAAATACTTCCGTTACAATTATATATAATAACGGGTAGTCAAGGAAATTAATGCCGTTAATGAGTCCGATTAAGTAAGGAAACCATCATAATTGTATACTCCTGTCTAAGGACTTCGACCACATTTGTAGTGATCTCTAATTTTTTATTGAAATTTATGCAATCATTTTTTACTTTATTCACGAGGTTCTAATCGCAACTTTGGGGGTGATAATCAATCTATTTCGTATTTTCTTTCTTTATCAATTATTTATATTCTTTGCTTTATTCTTCAAATTATTGGGAAAGTGAAGTAAATCTTGGTTAGCAGTAACCCGATTTCTTCTTGATATTGACTTTGACCGAGAAATCTATTTTAGGCTAAACAAATTGGTTCTGTTGCTGGAAATATGATAATCTGTTCACTTTCCAAATTTTGTTTTTAACGACCAAATATATCAACCGCTAACGAGAACAACCAGCTGAACCAACAAGGTGGAACTCCACTACATCACACACCTACGGGATCCCCCCGGCAATCCCGTGAAAGTTCACTTGAAAGGTATACTTCGCGCAGTGATGTCAGCATAGAGACGGCCAAGCCGTGTAACAAGATGCCTTGAAACAATTAATCGCAGAACACGTGAACAATGCACTGCAGGCTTTTGTCATAGGATTACCTAACGCAGTGCAAACTCCTCCGCTAGTTGATATAACAACTTTGGAGAACCCGCATTCGGGGCTTGATAATTCTGGAAGTGTTGAAATTCCCAATGAATCTCGAGATGGAGGGTAAGGTACACCAAATAATTCTAGTTTACACAGTTTAGTGCTAATTTTACAGAAACAGCTAGAGGAGCAAAACGAGCGTATAGAGCAAATACGTGGCGTGCCTCCCGTGATCAAAGGTGTCGATATTGACAAATATTCACAGCAGCCCTGGAAACCAAGTGCAACACCTTTACCAATTCCCAAAACATTTAAAATGCCTGATATTCCCGAATATGATGGAATGACTGACCCTCGGGATCACGTAACCGCGTTCACTACCGGCGTGAAAGACAATGATCTAACCAAGAAAGAGATCGAACCAGTTTTGGTTAAACGGTTTGGCAAAACACTCACAAAAGGGACGTTAACATAATATTCTCTTTTACCTGAAAATTTCATTGATTCTTTTGCTGAGCTTGCAGATTCATCTATAAAAGCACATTCGGGGGCTCAAAAAGTTAAGAAAGGGATGAAAAACATCTTCAAGGTTAAACAAGGGAGTACAGAATTACTCAGGAAATTCGCAGATAGATTCCAACGAGAGAGGATGATGTTACCATGAGTACCTGATAACTGGGAGGCTATGGCATTCGCGAGCAAGTTGAACGAGAAAAGTTCAGAAGCCACGAGAAGGTTGAAAGAAAGTTTGTGAGAATTTCCTGCAACAACTTGGAACGATGTGTACAATAGATACAGTACGAAGCTGTAGATAGAAGAAGATACGGTCGCACGGCCAAGGACCGAAGAAAGACCAGATTCGAGACACTCAGAATCAGAGAGGAGGCCCGGTAAAAACAGGTACGAGCCATACATAGGACCTGTAGGGCGAGACTGTCGATCTAAATAAGAGAATGCACAATTTGATTCAAGATCAAGACAAAATGATGCGACTTCTTCATCCAGGTTCAAAAAGGAACGAGCAGTACACGAGCAAGAATAGGGGATTATAGTTTTAACTTTAGCACCTCCGAATTGGTGGCTGTTGTTGATACCCAATTTTTCTCTCATATATTTTTAAATATTCATACACACTTTTAAAATATTGTACATGCATTTAAAAACATGCGCAAGTATTTTTTACAATTTTTCTACAATTTTTGGAGGCCCTAAATTCATTTATTTCTGTATTTTTTAATTATATAAATGTTCAAAACTAGCCCTCATATTATTTTATGATGATTTAATCATCTAAATTCACCATTTATGTTCATATGAGTGTTCAAATATTTTAATTGTATTTTTATAATTATATTTGCATTTTTAGGACTATAATTGCATATTTTACAAAAATAGCCCCTACATATGCATAATTACGTTATCTATACAAAAATGGACTTTTTATAATATTAAAAAATTATTTTAAATCACCTTCATGCATGAAAATTAATTTTTATCATTTAATTACCTATTTTAAATTATTTTATTTAGTAAAAATGGGTATTTAACAAATAGCCCTAATTTATACCGAAAATCAGATCCCCCCAATCCAATTTAATTAAACCCAATCCCAATTCAAATCAAACCTAACCCAATTAAATTCAACCCGACCTAGACCCCTTCTAATCCTGGCCGTTGATCTCTGAGATCAACGACCCCTATTCCTTCTTTCTTTTTTTATTCTAAATGACCCCCCTAACCCTAGCCATTTATTACACCCAGCCGCCCTTGAATCCCTCATCTCCTCTCTTCTCTTTGAGACTAACCCTAACCCTAGCACCGTCACCTAAATCTACCCCAAATCCCTTCGATTCCTACCTATTCCATGAGGTTCCCTGGTGATTTGAGGCCCCTAACGGCCTGTTACATCTTCTGGTTGTACGACTTTGTCGGTTTATGAGAGAATCTCAAAGAGATTCAACCAAGTTTCGCCGAAGTCTGACTCCTAGGCCTGTCTTATGGCCATCTCCGTTTGTGAGTACTATTAACTCGTGTTTATGGCTCGAATCTCTAGTTCCAACTCAGATTTTCTTTTATCTCTGTCCTTTCTCAAAACCCTCATCTCTCACACTTTGAATCTATTCAGATCCTTGTAGATCTGAAACATTTTTGAGTTTGAGTATATCTTTCCTTAAAATTTTTCTGTTCTCTTTATCATCGACTGATTTTAATGTTCCTCCAAATTGGGGTTTTTGATTCTTTATTATTTGCTATAGATTTGAAGTGGTTTCGAGTTTCTATAACATTTTTCTTTAAAGGTTTTCTGCTTTCCTTACCGTTAATCGATCCTAAATATTTCTCTAAAACTAGGGTTCCCTTTCTTCTTGTTTCTGCAAAAACTTTTCTAAGAGTTTCTGAGTGTTTGAAGCTGGTAATCTTTACTCTTATGTTCTAGTCCTTTGTTTGTTCATTTGTCTTACTATCCGCTTCAATTTTTTCGTTATTGTTTGGATTGACTGATTTACTTAGGGCTCGAATCATATTTTCCTGTTAAAATTAGTACTTCTCTGTGGTTTTGCCTATTTTCCTCATTTATAATTTTTAATTGGTACTACTTGCCTTCTTTATATCAATTAGTCTAATCTATGGTCTCTAGACATATTGCTTACCTTATTTAACTTCAATCATGCCTGCCGAATGATTTCGTATGAGATTCTCCCTAATTTAAGTGATATTAATTGATTAGTTTTAGCCATAATTGACTGGTTAATTGATTTGCATACTTTATTTATATGCTGTTAATTTTTCTTGCCTTATTCGTTTATTCTGCTCAATGATATATAAGTTTCATTTTTTTCTTTAACACACACGAACATAGTTCAACACACACACACAGACATAGAAAATATACAAAGTTCTTGATCACTTCCTCTATCACAATCTTCTACTCTCTGTTGTTACATTGTCTAACCGGCTGGGAGCCAAGGCTAGACCTTCACACCCTGTTTGCTTTACTCTCCTATTGCTATCTCTTAACTGGTATGCTTCCACTACCGCCATTCAATTAAACCAATGTGTGTTTCCTTATAATCAACATGTCTTTATTCTGAACCTATATGGTTTTTCCTACCCAGCATGTCTACTACTATTCGATTTAACTATATGCCCTGTTATCAGTATGTTTACTGTTATTCAATTAGACTATAAGTTTCCTGCTATTCAATTTGACCTATGTGTTTACTGCAATAGCATGTCTACTCCTGTTTAACCTATGTGTTTACTGTAATAACATGTCTACTTCTGTTTAACCTATATGTTTACTTGTCACGATCCTAAAACCGACCCGGTCGTGATGGCGCCTATCGTGAAACTAGGCCAGCTGACACAACTCCCAAATTAATCATTTAATCAATAACAATCATTTCTAAGCCTTGAATTAATCAGATATCTCATAATGTAAG